AAATTTGGTACCGAATGACAATGACAGATCTTTTTATACTTTGAAGTATCGACGCAATTCGGTCAGTGCCCTAAAAGCATTGGTACCCAGCCCTATGTATAACTAATATTTAGCTGCTAACAAGACCCATATAACAATGCTAGTGTGGTGATGTTTAGCAGGTATAATGTAGATCTGAAACGATAAACTGATCAACAGACAATTAATCTGCGTATTTTGTATTCGTTTAAGTAATATTTCAAGGGACAATGGCAAATAATAGCTCGTAAGTAACATCGGATACTTGCTGCAAAGAAGGAGGGTGTGGGCAGGACCGCATCCACCCGAGTGAATTACTATGAGACGTCATGTAATTTAACTGTCTTTCTTAAACCAGCAGTTCACAGGGACAAACAACCACTCTTCAACTTGTTGATATGAATAATCCCATAATTGAAACAATCTGGTTGAAATTGCAGTGGGGGCTGCCGTTGAGAAGCCAATAACAGAGTCAACAGGAATCAAAAACACTTATTCCCTAAAAGTACAGTTATTGCCATGTGGAAGGCTGCAATACACATAAACAGTCATTTAGCAAGGGTGGAGGTTATGAATGTGGAAGGACGCATTCAAAAATAAACATCTGCCAATGTGTTTCTTAAGTTACAGAAGGTGTATGTGTGCGTGTGACCTTAACATAGCCCCTCTAATTATCTGCTGCACTGTATGAAGAGGAGCAGCTCACTCTGGTTGGTCTATACATGGGGCCTGAAGGGTGACAGACAATACGGATGGGGGGGCGGTTTTGATCATATTTATAAAGATAAACACTAACCAATAACCAAATATACACACCTGTACAAGGTTTCTGTACACAAATTAAATGAAAAATGCAAAGCAGAGGCCAACAGTTTGTTCTCTAATCTGATCTAATGATGCAAAACAGCAGAGTAGGACAAGGACAGAGAAGACCCCTCAGGGCAAGAAAACAGTACATCCTCTGAAATATGAACCTAAAAAACATCCACCGTTGTGAAGCAATGTCCCACAGAAATGAGAATAACAACTATACACGGCGCCCAGAAAGAGGGTAATAAGAGCTGCAGAGTTAAGAGCAGTAGAACAGTCTCAGCTTCTGTTGACTATCAGCCATTTCCAAGTGTTCTGGGCGGCCTTTGTAAGAGAAAGGCATGCTGGGAAAAGATACGTGGGAGAAACTGGCCTCCAGCTGTGTGTTTATGACTTCATCTGTGACAGCAAACATAAAAACTGGCTCTGTAGTGAAATGTAGAAGGTCGCCTGTATGTGTAATGTGATATTCACCTGTGCTCAGTGGGCCACATTAAAGGAACGGTTCGACACTTTGGGAAAGACACTTATTTTGCTTTTCTTTGCTGAGTAACATGAGATGATTGATTCCACTCTAATATTAGCCTGTTAGCCAGGAGTCAATTAGCTAAGCATAAATACTGGAAGTAGCTAGCCTGGGTTTGTCCAAAGCTAAAAATGTAAATTGTTAACGCATTGTGTCTAATTTGTTCAATCAGTACACAAAACATTGTGGTTTTATGGGAAGTTACCTGCTGTAATTCCCTCTGGGCGCAGTGACTTCCTGTAGCCTTTACGCTAAGTTAAGCTAATTACCTGCTTGCTCAAGCTTCATACTTAACTGACAAACATGAGGACTGAGTGTGTTTGATGCTACTTTATCAAAACCACCCTCTTTCACATAAAACGTATAGGGGCTGCATCCCTCCATACAGCCGACTCTAATCGCTAGCTGATGCTGCAAGAGTCTTAGACGACCCACGTTATACTTAGTCAGCATAAGCACCAGAAAAACAAATATACCACGTCAAAACTCGCCTTTGTAACCGTGACAAGAGAATCACAGGATTGTTTAGTTAGGCAGTCCTATTAGCCTGGTCCTACCCAGGCCTGGGAGCTGGAAGGACAGAGTTTAAAACACCACTACGCGTAAGAGGCAGCTCCTGTGAACAGACCAGCCTGATTTCACAGCGCTCCAAACCAGGATCTGAACTCTGAAGGATGAAGAACATGGCTGGGTTCAGGCAACGCAAGAGGAGGCGATGAGTTTGTAGTACCAGTAACTTTTCACCAGTTCCATACATCCTCCAATTCGTATCGATCTAATCGCTTTGGAACAAGTCTTGCGTGATGGTCGTACTCATGAATTACAAACCACATTCAGCAAACTCATTCCACGTTTTTCCCGTTATCATTCCAACCAGGCAGAGGTGTCAACATATACGCAAAAATTAATTAAATTATATCATTTAATATTTGAAATTAATTCAGCTCTCTCTTACAACCTTCACTAGTCGACCTAGGAAAATCTCTTAATCGAATCAGCCCTAAAATGTAACTTTTCATGTTCTTAAGTTCAACTTAAAAAGTGTATGTACCTTTTGGTCTGTATTTGAGCTTTCAAAGTCCAGTGGATCAACTTAAATGCCTGTCTGATCAAGAATATAAACAACACTGTCATTATAACTGTCAGTTGCAGACCCAGTACTTTTCGATAATTCTTCTTTTTCTTTTACAAAATACAAATACATCACACACATAGTGTATACTACTAGACAGTGTGTCTTGGCTGGTTGTACGGTGAAATGAAAAAGGCACTTTTATTCAATGTAATAATGACCTTTATGTAGCTCCCTGCTGTAATTAATCCACATACAGGAAGTATCTAGTACCAGAAAGGATCGAAATCGATGGAACGGCAATTTCAGATTTTCTGCAGACACAAGGGCAAAGCAGGATCAGAGAATTCAATCACGTCTGAAACCTCACATCCTAACGCCAGAGAAAACGCAAGCAGTATCGCAAGGTCGACCACGTATTCTACTGCCGGTACACCCAGAAAAGTTCAAACTTGCAGTCTTGAACAGTCTTTTAGACCCGAAAGTATCCATCAAACATTACCACTACGCCCATCCGAAAAGTTACTACGAGAGCCCCTGGCGAAATCTGCAACATCAAGGGCTTTCATACAAAAAAATAAAGGGTTGTCGTCGCAATAATCACCTCTGCACGATGAGTTGCACATCGCCGTGAGCTGGATCACATTATCTCTTGAGGCAGATGGACTGAGAAGAAAAACAAAAACAGAGCAAACTG